TGGCACAAGCAGGCAGAGAGGCAGGCAGAGAGAGAGGAGGAAGCAGGCTCCCCTAGAGAGCAGAGAGCCCGATGCGGGGCTCGATCCCAGGACTCTGAGATCATGACCTGAGCCGAAGGCAGCGGCTTAACCCACTGAGCCACCCAGGCGTCCCCAAGAAAAAAGATTTTTAAAAGGAGAAATATAAATGAGCATAAAGGATGTTCAGCACGATTGCAAGGAAATGCAATGTCAAAACTTTAAAAAACCTTACCAAACTAATAATAAAACTTTTAAAAAAGAAGGAGTGGTAGTGAAGGTACAGTGAGAGAGACGTTCATAAAAGTTGTTGGAAGGAGTATACTTTCTAGCACAAACTTTCTAGATGGTATCTGGAAATACTTTTTTAAGAAGCATAACTGAGATCATTTAATCTTAGAATCTGTCTTAAGGAAACAGCCAGAGAGGTGAAGGAAGATTTATATCCGATTTTTTAATAATACACAGCATTATTTGTAGCAATATTCATAATTAGGGAACATTATTTAAATGTCCCCAACTAAGGCTAATAAATGATCTTACACCAATTTGATGGACTCTTAGTCAACCATTAAATTGAAGCCCATGGAGATAAAAGGAAAACACAAATTTATATATATATATATATATATATATATATATATATATATGAAATGATCATTTCATAAAGCACATAGACAAAATATGGTAAGGAAGTACAGAAACCAATTTTATTTACTTATTTATTTTTTTAAAAGATTATTTATTTATTTATTTGACCGAGAGAGATCACAAGTGGGTAGAGAGGCAGGCAGAGAGAGAGAGAGAGGAGGAAGCAGGCTCCTCGCTGAGCAGAGAGCCTGATGTGGGGCTCGATCCCAGGACCCTGAGATCATGACCTGAGCCAAAGGCAGAGGCTTAACCCACTGAGCCACCCAGGCGCCCTAAAATCCAATTTTAAAACTCATTTTTGTTCCCAGCAGCAACATTATGTTTTTTTTTTTTTTTAAATCCTTTCCTCTGCTTTCCATATTTTCTACATTCCAATGATGTGTTGGAGCTGGCTTGCACCAATCCAAGAGTGCCATCCGCATGTATCTTTCCCAAATTCCCCACGCAATGATGTCAAACTGAGAGCTTGAAATTGGTCATGATGAGAATATTTCCGCCTCAGAGACTGGCAAATGCTACAAATTGGGCTTTTTTCATCTGGAGAGCCAGTGGTTAACTACACCGGCACTGTACAGAGAATGACTGTGACCCACCCTCTGATCACAGAGAAAACAAGACGCACACACAACACCAGTAAGCTACTACTCCATAACTTTAGCATTTCTTGGATCCCAACAAGCTCCGTAAAGAGACAAACACATGTCCAGGTCTTAGTCCAAGAATACGAAAACAGCATAGTGACCCCAAGCATTAGAGAAAGAGCATTTAACACATGTTCATGAACTAGCCGTAATTACATTATAATTTCCTCAGCTTTGCCACATTGCGATCTCTGACCAAGACCATCTGAATTAATGGCTAACCCTCTCAGGGCTTTTGGAAGGTATGTTTGTTATTTTGGTACTAACCTAACACATGCCGCGTAAGAAAAACTGGAAAAAAATCAAGGCTTTGAATGAGTTCTGGTGATCACTTTTAATTTATATTTCGTTGTTACAATGTGATCTGGGGCCCATATGTTCTATTGAGCATAGACATGAATGTCTCTCTGCTTTCTATTACTCTAGGGTTTTATAGTTATCAGTACCGATGCTGTCTTTCCAAGGAATTTCATGGCCATGGACACTCTCAGAGTCAAAAGCAGACAACTATTCCTTAGCTTCAACAACTATTCATGGCTCCTAAGACGGTGATTCCATACGACTTTGTGGGGAGCGTTAATTTGGTTTTCTCTGGGATTAGGCATGGTTCTAGAAAGTGCTTCTTAAATCAAACAAGCCTTGGGGACCTTATGCATAATTTCCAAAGGCAGGCCATATGCATAAAAATGCAGTAATGATGTGTAAGTTCAGTATTATCCTCTCCGGCCCAGATTATTAGACTAGGAAAGGGACTTCCAGAACATTTACGGCTCTTAAACATTCTCAAGTCCAGGAATTATCTAAAGGGCGAGGCAAGGAGATATAGAAGGATCTCCTGGGAGGGATGTCCTTCCATATAATAGTTTTATATCTGGAGTAAGAAACCCAACTATTTATATACAACAAATTACATAATGTATGTTTCAACATCTTCTTAACTGCTAGGAATGTAAAGAAGATAGAAAGAAATTTTCCCAATAGGGGATGATCTCTAACTATGGTTCTCCAGACTGGGCATGTGGCAGAGTCACTTGGGGCCCTGCTGCAGGGCCTCTGACCCAATCATCTGGGCTGCATATCTAATAAAGTCCCAGGTGAGGATGACGCTGTTGGTCTAGGGACAGCACTTTCAGAGCCACTGTTCTCTTCGAATCCTGATGAGGAGAGTTGAGATGGTTCTGGTTCCGGGAACAGGAAATGCCTTGTAGAAATTCAGAATTATAAAGACCAAATTGTCTTTAAGACATGAACCTCATGTAACCATTTCTTATTATGTCTCCTTGTAGACCTCACCACAAGAAACAGTTATATGAGATTCGTGTCTTAAAACAACTTGGATTTTTGTCTCCTTTCACAGGATTAAAAAGAGTTAAAAATTTTTCAATACCGTCTAATCACCTGCCCTTAGGAGATAGCAAAGAACTGGCCCTTTATGGAAAGAAACTTTACTAGTCTTTATAGAAAGAAGCGACATTTTAACCCACTAATCATCAATTCGCCTGTTTGAAAGGCCTGGCTGCTGTGTTGCCCAGCCCCAGGGATCCTGACTTGTACCAACTCTGTGGCCCTAACCGAGCCCCGTGAGCACCAGTGTAACACTGTCTTCTTTATCCTTCTCACCCAGCCACTGCAAAACCACTTCCTGGGCCTCAGCCATATGCCAGGCAGTGTTCTAGTGGCCCGACACACACCAGCAATCAGAGCAGACAAACATGCCTC